TGTCTTCAGTCTTCGTAATCTTCGATGTACATTAAACCCTATTGCTTTCCCATGTTACTATTCTTTCTCTATCACATTTATACTTATTATAGTCCTTTAGAATCCCTTATTTTCTATCTCTTTTAAATCTGCCTTTTTGTGGTACATGGATTGTGGTGATTTGAACTCGTGCAATTCTGTGCTAAGTTCTATGTTGAAACTCAGTCAGTTGGTTAGTCACCTGGCGTGATACATTCACATAAGATATGGCGAAGCTAGCTGGCTTATCCTTCGCTTGACTGAGGAATTACACATATGTTTTTTGCATAAACTATAAAGCAATCTTGGTAATTTGCCAATAGGATGACAAGATTGTGCATATCAACCGTGAAATTAGTAGTGATAATAAAATTAGTTTCATTAATAACAAAGACGAAACTATCATAGAGAGAGATAATGGCTTCATGAACTTCTTCTTAATGCAAAGTTTAGACTTAAAAGTACGAATACCAGTTACCCTAGCTAAATACAGTAGATGAATACAAAGTCTATTGAAAAGATTCGATGGTATTTGATATATACTTTTAAATACCTTCGGTTTTTCCACTGAATGAACACTATCAACTATATGTGTGACAAAATGAGGCTTCGAATAGCCTCTGTCTGTCCTTTATGCGTCGGTGCCACAGTTGTTAGGACTTTCCCCGACCATGCACAAGGTCCGGGGTTCGATCCCCTGCCGATGCACACCCGATATCTATGGTCGGCCTGCAAAGTTTGGACTACTGATATCACATGCTGAAAAGTCCATATTTGTACCGAAAATACGGTGTGACATCAAACTGTAATCAAAATAAATACCACAATGGGTGATGTTCAATGGTACGTAGGTTAATCTGTTTAATAACTACGCCCAACATTTCCACCTCTTCACCGTGCATACGTTGAGGAGGCCGTCGAACGACATCTCACGCCAGGCACACGCTTGATTGGAATCCAAATGGGAAGCAACGTGTGGGTCGTCGGTGTAGATGTGAAATGGAGGAAACTGGAGAGGAGAAGGGAAATTATGGGCAGTCGTGTGGCTAGCCAGTTGTAGAGGACACCAGAAAGTAAAAGAAAGTGGTGATGTGTTGTTGAATCCGTATGTTCCACTTGGAACCTAAAAGAATAATAACAACACAATAATATTACTGTCTTATCATTCTATTGTCAAATCACTATGATTGACTTACATTTTAATGTTCATATGTAAAGTTCTATTTTTAAGAATAGAGGCTTATGAGATCTAATTGAAAACAATATTGTTCACTCACTTGTGTTATCCTAAATTTGGTTTGAATTGGAAATTAGTGAGCTTTTTATTCAGATTCAGAAGTGTTGAAATCTGCATGCACTCTGTATACACTTCATATCCATACATGCTTGTCAGTAAAGTTCAACTACAATGATGGCGACTATCCAGTCATTGGCTTCGGTGGGACAGCGGTAGAATGCTCAACAACCATGCTGGTGGTCCGGGATTAGGTCCCTGACTGATGCACTCATTTACCTCGCTAAGCCAGTAATAAGACTGGTAAATAGGGAAGGTTGGGCATAAAGTTAGGAACTCCATCCCGTAAAAGTAATAGACACCACTGCTACCGAACTTCAAAGTTCTAGCTTGAGGCCCTATGTTCCACTGGGAAAGTAATGGAATAAAATGAAATTTAGTCATTGTGATAATTACCTAAAGCATAGATATCTTAGAGACTGTATGAGTTGGTGTCAGTATTATGCTGGCTAATTGGCGCTACCATATAAATATTAATTGAAATTAAAGCTGTAACTTGAGTCTCGGAAAGATTTGATTTGATATCTAGTAATAGTAAATTCTTCGTTACTAATACACCACTTGTGAAAGAATGACTGATTTCGTATGTGATGCGTCGGTGGCACAGTGGTTAAGACTCTCGCCAACCATGCACATGGTCCGAGATTCGATCCCCTGCCGACGCACACCTGATATCTATGGTCGGCCTGCAAAGTTTGGGCTACCGATATCACATGCTGAAAATTCCATACCTGTAGTATAAAATACGTTGTGGAATCAAGCTGTAATCAAAAGGAAAGTCAATGCGTTGTATTCATTCGCATTTTATCATACAATAGAGTGGGATAGGTCGGAAATTATTAAGAAGTAATGTAGTTAGGTGCAGAGACTGAGGATTTAATCACACTGAATCTTTGTTTATCGAATCAACACCAAACACATCCAGTATTAGTCGTGATACGCCCATGCCTCAGATATGGGAAATTGCAATAAACAAGAAGAGGGAGATTAAAAAATATATATACAAAGCAAATTGTAAAGCCATGTGAATAAACTGATATGATTATGCGGAGTAAAATTGTGCTTTAAACGTCATCCAGTTATTAATACTGTATCCCTGTGTTTTACATCAAATAAACGTATCCAGTATGGAGTTGCATTCTACCATAGTGCTAAAGTTCTACACTTAAATCAATGATACTTATGCGCTTCCAATTCAAAGACCAATAATCAATGAACTCACACAACCATCATATAAAGTTATCTAATTTGAGAAGTTTTCTTTCCTTCAGTATTTTCTTAGAGCTTATCAAATTATGCCAAGTTATACCATAATACAGCAGAAATGATATTTAAGATATGTGTAAGCAAAGAGTGTTCTGAAGCTGTTCATTTCTCTCAATCCATATCTGAAATTCACATGCGAATATGTGAGGTTAAGTAAAATACAGTCTTGTGATTTCACTAGTATTCAGGGTGAAGACGATTTCATCTTTCATGAAGTTTGGCATTCATCGACTTGGATAAATCAGTACTCAAGATTAAGATATCATGGAAACGATTTGTAGTTCAGGTGGAATGTATTGATGTAGTTGTGTTCTCCTATCTGGATGGTTTTGTTGCGAAGCTTCCATTGTCTTTCTAGACAAAGTTCACTACACCATGAAGAGTCGAACCCAGGACCGTCTTGGTTCAATTTTAGCTATCTTCTACTAGCATATTAAACTATAATCACATCTTAGCATTATTATGTCATTTTTTTAATTTTCTCTTATTTTCTTGTTGGCATTTCATGTTTAAGATAATTTGTACTTGTTTCGCGCATTGATTGATTAAGTTGTGTGAACACTGTCATATATTCTCATGTGTATTCATTGATGTGAAAATATCGAAAAGATCATTTTGCGTTGCTTTCACACTTGACTCGAGTTCGAATTAACAGGTTACTGGAATTTATCCCAGTGGCTATGTGGCTAATAGGCTCACCTTGTGTCCTGAAGGTCCTCCATTCGGTCTTTGGTGGAGTAATTCTGAAAAGTCAGAAAATATGACGAAATATTTTGTTCAATATCCCCGTCTTCCGTTACTAAAGTTACATCGGAACTGATCAGAATCCTTAAACTGAACTGCATCAAATTGTTTCCGTCGTTTGACCGTGACACCCATAAAACTAAGGAACTGTAGATAACTTTTGAACCTAGTACCTAAATCAATGAAATTGGGCCTAATCAATGAATATTTTTGATATTACACATGGATTAAAAAAACGAATTTACGAGAGTTTGTTCGTAGAGATTTGACTTGTTTCATGTATGACCACGGATTGATATGAGTTAGAGAACTATTAAAAACCAGCACTGGAGTAATGGATAGATGCTTTTTTCTAATGTGGGACTTATCAGCAGTATTCATCCACTGGGGTTCGAACCCAGGTCCTTCCGGCTACAAGTCACGTTCGTTGGCCATTGTGACTCGACTCATTGGCCAATCCATTAATTATAAGTTCTACCAATTCGTGATTTAGTGCAACCACCATCCAATTTCATCGGCGAATATTTGTACTGGCTTCCGATCGTGTGGACCGCACTGGTCATGACGTCTCAATAGAACTTCAGGCAATTTCGTCTATTTGCCAGTGACTAGCGGGGTCAGATTTATTTTCAAGAGTTTGTCTTTATTACTGATGAGTCTCAAAATTAGACGAAACAGCTGTCCCATACTCCCTGGTTTTCATTGGTTCTCTATCAACGAAGTCAATCCGTGATCAAACTTTAAACAGATTTAAATAATACTTTAAGGCGGAATTCAATTTACAACTGTAATATCATTTATTTATTTATTTATTAATAATATCGGGTGTGTGACTGCAATATTAAAATATATTAGAACATTTCAATAGCCTTGTTAAATGCGACATACCGTTAGTTGACTTATTCGCGTACATGCTTCTAATAACAATCTATGCATTCGCTAGATGAATTTCAGATTACTGCATCCTCAGTATCTTATCCTGCATAGATAATATTGTCAGTTTTATTTAAGATCCTTTATACGAAATGTGTTTTTAAATACTGTACATGACTGAATACTTTTAGTGGTTATGTCAGTAATAGAGAATTTGTAAAGAAAAACCATATGAACTGTTCGCATTGGACAAATAAAATTCTGCATAAAAAGTCTTTTTAACAGCAGCGTTCAGTCTTTGTCTAGTTATCAAGCTGCTTTGATGCCCCCAGACAAGTTCATCAGGAGATATAAAGTAGTCAAAACACTAAGACCCACTCTCCAACTCTCCCCTAAGAAAGACGTGTACATCAAGCTAACCTATAAGGGACATCAAAGCAGCTTGATAACTAGACAAATAAAATTCTGATTATGTAGTTAGATCTCATCACTGCTAATCCATTTTAATGTGTGAGGCAATTTGGAAAAATCTCACGAAAATGAACAAGGTTAATCAATAATTTTGACCCCAAAAAACCTTGAATATTAATCTGCATACTGGTGTATTGGAAACACTAACACATTTGGTTTGTGCTTCGTAAGATCGATAGTATTATGATCATTGTGTATTATATAATATGAGAGAACTACTCATTCAATAAGGAAAGTCATTTCGGGTACTGAGAATTCATTTCTTATCTGCAATTATATATTATATATGCGGTACAATTTTTTTGTTATCTTTATTGTTTCCTTCCCTTCAAAGGTTTGTTTGATCAACCATTAATGACAAGTGGGAAATCACATATTCCACAGTCGTCATCATCTCCGTCAATAAATAAAGTGATCACTGGGAATAATATTAACTCGAGTGGAAGGCAAACACCTGGTAATTTCAAACATGCTGAACATAATCAGATAGATCACAATGTATATCATATATCAAAAGATAACGAACTAGAAGGTTCTAATGTTTTACTCGGTATTGGTATAAATGAAGCAACATATGTTACATCTGCGCCTAATGTTAATGATGGAGATTCTAAAGGAACTCAAGAAGTAAGCGTTTACTGTTAACATTTAAAAATTATTACTAAACGGTATAAAAAGGACTGGTGGATAGTTGTGTAAACGGAAGCGATGTAAATTAGAGGTTATATGGTAGTTTGTGGATCTATATTATTGTTATTATTCTTTTGGGTTCCAAGTGGAACACACAACACATCTCCACTTCCTTCCATTTTCTGCTGTCCCCCTACACCCGGGTTCACGATTGACCATAATCTTTTATCTCCTCTCCCAACTCACAAGATTTCCACATCACCCTAGCACTGATGACCCACTCGTCGTTTCCCATTGGGATCCCGCTGGAGCGATAGCCTGCATTGCATGCAATGTCATTCGAAGGTCTCCTCAACCTACGCCCGATCAGTTTATCTCCATTTTCTCCTACATATTTGTTGAACACTCGGCTCTTGGCTGGTTCGTTCCACTATTAAGTTTCTCATTGTTAATTCTTTCTGGCTGCCCGGTTGGCGATTTGATCTTCAGTATGCAACCAGGCAGAGAAGATGGCAGCTGTTGACAAAAGTTTGCATTAGCCTGTCGCAAATCCTTGTCGTGACACGCTGGTTAAGTTTCTGACCCGTGTAGAAGAACTGACTGACTGACTGACCTCACATCTGTATTGAAAAAAACGAATCTTGTTGTATATGCCGATTGAGTGTAGTGCAGAAGATTTCTAAACTAGTTTCAGGTTGATGAAGACGTGCCTTCCCAAGTCATCATCCATTCTGGCTGCATGTGGTTGAAACCGTGCTTCCTGACCAGATAAGTGAAGAGAGGAAGTAACCTCAGTGAAATCCCTTCCTTTGATGGTGATTGGTGCTGGTTGTTGTTAGTTGATTATCTTCATTACCTCAGTCTTCTCGATGTTTATCTGGAGTTCTGCCTTCACTACCAACTTCTTCTACCAGTCGAACCTGGACCATGTGGATAGCTTAGTGATTTAAGCAGGCCCCCCTCACACACACACACACACCCAATAAAGTGCAGCTCACAGTCTGGTAGATGCGAAATCTGTTTCGGATAATTTGATTTTATTGAACTGTAACTATATCCCTTTATTTATTTCTCTGTTTAATATGCTTATGCATAAACCTAATAAATGAAACTCCCGTTTTATCAGTACGTAAGTAGTTCACATACTATAGAAAAGAGAAAACACACTATAAAACCCTAGTATGGAAGATAGTTAATCTCAGCATAACCTTTTTTATACCCTTACTTTCATTTTGATTTATAATCATTATTTTTTCTTTCCGTTTATAAGCGTAAAACAACCTCTTTCAGACCGCCTTTTTAGCACACTATTAAGAGATTTGTGGATATTGTGAATCAACTTACATGTTATCGTTCTGATATATTCCAGATGATCTGCTCTTTTACAACATTTCAGCTCTCTCTCCTTAGAAGACATTGTAGTTGTATCCTTGCAGGATATCCTTACACATTGACGGATATCACCTATTACTGAGGCCTTTTCTACTGTCTTGCTTTGGCTTCATACTATTAACAGCGGCTGTTGGCAAAACTTTAGTCAGTTTTCTGTCTTTGCCCGCTATTAGATCAGCCTCCTCCTATCAATCAGCTTGCATGAAACTGCTGAGAATCACTGTCATTTACCAATTTTTTACTGAGATTGGGTCCGTTTGGTCTGTTTCTGTCTTTCTTGAGCTCTATGTGGATTGTTGCCATTTAAGACTTCATCTTTACTTATGTTTGAAATTAGTGCCTAACGTGGACAGACGCTTATCTAAACGGAATTGTAAGCGATTATTGTCGTTTTCGGTTCTGTTCAGCTTCTCTACTAGAACATTAATCGCATCTGGCATGCTGAATACTTTCCAACCACTCACACGGTTCGACGTTCGATTCCCGATCGACTCACTCCTAAACCCTGCTCGGTTGATCGTAAGCCTAGTAAATAGGTAAGACTGGGCGTGAGACTAGCGACCCCACTCCATTAAAGAACACTGACATTCAAATTTCAAATCTGAATCTGGAATCTCTATTTACCACTCGAAACGTGAAGGGAAATGGAAAAGGTAGTTGTACCTAAGTGTTTCACTTTTATCAACAAAGTATATAGCGTCTTTAAAAACAGTGGAGTACTTGCGTCTTTCGAGGTACATTTAGTGGATGCGTAACTGGAGATTATGAAAAGATATTGATAAGTGTCACTACCTTTCGTTATTCTTACGAATTCATTCCACCAGACAACACCACACAAAAGGGAACTGTTCACAGTGGATCGAATGACAACTCCACACCACTAAAATCCACGAGAACTGGTCAAAGAATCCTCTAACAATTCCAGGCGAATGTTGTATATTCTTTTTTTTCATTTAGCGTTGAGTAATCACGCTTAGTTTTAACATACTTGCACATACACACACGCGCACACATCAAGAGTCAATATATTATGGTACTACACTCGTTGTTTTTTATTGTCCTAAGCATTACACAATATGCTGACAAGTTCAAATAAAGTATAATTATATTTCAATAGTTTACACTCAATGGTAAGTTTTGTTATTGGTAATATTTCGAGCAAAATTACTGCCCGTATTCACACCACCAATAATAGCTGACATATTTATGGATTATGGGGAAGAGAATCCCCTAAAACCATTCACGTCATCACCAAAATGTTGGTGGAGATAAGTAGACGACACACTAGTAATAGTGAAAAAAAACGATACTGAGAAATTTTTCTCACACATAAACAGCCATGTCGATTCAATAAAATTCACTATGGAAATCGAGAATGAAATTGAGAAACTGCCTATGTTAAATTGCAAACTACAAAGAATAACAGATGATAGCATAAAAACAACGCTATATAGGAAAACCACACACTGTGGAAGCTTCCTTGATTGTCACTCAGTTCATCCACTCACGGTAAAACGAGGATTAATACAAGGTCTTGCAGATAGAATACGTAGACGACTTACAACAACACCAGAGGACCAGTGTAAAGAAATAAAAGTCCTATTCAAAATGCTACTCGAAAACAACCTTCCAAAAGAATTTATAAAAGATAATGTAAAAAAGAGAAAAAAGAGGGTGAAACCGGAGAATAACAAGATGGAAGAATGCAAAAAAACAGTCACAATACCATATAGAAATAGTACATCAGAGGCAATTCAAAGAAACCTTAAAAATTTTGACATTCGCACCACGTTTAAACCGACGAATCTAATGAAAAATAAAATAAATCATCTGAAAGATCCCATAAAAATGATGGATAAAAACAATTTGATTTATAAAATATCTTGTGCTGACTGTCCAACTAAATATGTGGGGCAAACGTCCAGATCACTCAAAATAAGAGTGAGTGAACATAAACGCCTAACTAAAGGTCAACCAACAGGGACACAAGCTTACAAAATCTTGAAACAAAATTCATCGATAGCTGCACATGCATGGGACAAAAACCACAATATCGATTGGGACAATGTGTGTATTCTAAAAACAAACATGAACAAATGGAAAGAAAGACTCATAACAGAATCGATATTCATTAAAGTCACACCGGATACATGTAACAAGGGTGACTCAGTACAACTATCGACAACTTGGAATATAATTCTGAATACAAAAACATGAATGAGCAAAAAAAATAATAATGAACTATATATATATGAGTACAAATCATAAATGTGTGAACAAAACAATTCCAACAGTGGTGTGAACATGGGCAGTAATTTTGCTCGAAATATTACCAATAACAAAACTTATCATTTAATTGATGGATGGTGATTAGCAGTGGAATCCAGGGTGTGCATTTCTTCCTATTTGGGACTCGTGGTCAACTGGATGTATTTGCATTTCTCAGTGAATTATGATGTTCCCACGGAGGCTCGAACTAAGTGCCCATAGTTCCAAACGCCAAAAGGGTTATCCACTAGACCACTTGGGTCACGAGAGCCACCTCTTGTGCAACGGGTCATATTAATTATTGAATTGAATTTAAGATTTTCCCGTCGATTGATTGGACCGATGTGCAACATGTCAACCTGAGACCCCCGAACACTTCGATCCAATCAATCGACGGGAAAATCTCAAATTCAGTTACAACTTATCATCGTGTGTAAATTATTGAAATATAATTAATTATACTTTATTTGTTCTAATCCACAATGCTCTAACGTTTTACTAATATTAACTGCTGAGTAGTTTTCAACAAACAATACACTTACTTTCCCAACTATAAATACATTTATTTCTTGTTCAATTCTTTTCTTTAAAGAAAAGTAGTATATGTTTTTTCAAATCACGTGATATTTGTTTTATTGTTCTCCCTGAAAAGTACTCTACAATTAGTTTACAATTGTTTTCCAATTGTCCAATAACAATGCCTAAAATTCCCAACAGTATGCTTATGTGTATAGATACAGTGTGAAATTTCCAGGGTATTATTATATATTATTATTACTACCTAACTTTCAAATAAAAAAACAGTAATTTCATCATGAGCTGACATTAGTTAGAGAACAATTGGAAAACAATCTGGGAGTACTGGACAGCTGTTTCCATTGTCCTACTTTGGGACTCTTCATCAGTACGCACCCACCGCCAGGATTCGAAGAGTCCCCTAGCTAGGACGAAACAGCTGTTCAGTACTCCTAGCTTGTTTTCCAATGGTTCTCTAACTAATATCAGCTCATGATGAAGTCCTGTAAACCAATCAACCAAATCCCTACAAACCAACATTTGAATATCACTGAGATGCTCACTAGCGACTTGCCGTATTCAGGTGGTTAGTTACCTGGGGTTCTAGTGAGAAGTCGTGACCAGTTGGGTGCAGCAAGTCGGGTGTGAGGACAAATACTCGCCGGAGACATTGGCTAAGGGTCGCGCTATGTCGTGAATTGACAGAAGTTAAAATTCATGCACTGGCCTTTGGATAGGGTCCCAGTGGCTTAATGGTACACGAGCTGGCCTTGCAACCAGAAGGTCCTGGTTTCGAACCCTGGCTGTGGGTGCGTACTGATGAAGAGTCCCAAACTAGGACAATGGAAAAAGCTGTCCAGTATTCCCAGCTTGTTTTCCAATGGTTCTCTAACTAATGTCAGCTCATGATGAAATCCTGTAAACCAATCAACCAAATCCCTACAAACCAACATTTGATAAACAGTAATCATTGAACACACAAACACACATGCGTATGCATACATTGATTTCATGATAATAAGGTCAAGAACATCTCATTGTTGTTGGTATTGTTGTTGTGTTTTTTTTTTTCTGAAGCTGTTGTCAAATTCTTTTTCTTGGTACACCGTGTTATGTCCTCATGATTTACCGATAACACTAGTCGGATATTGATTGGTAGGCTAGTTAAGTGCATGTACAGTATGATAATCTACCACTAAGGTATTATGGAATATTATGAAATCTAGCTGTTTGACAATACAATGGAGGTAGTAAGTACAATCTATGAGAGAAAAAGAAAGAAAAGATATTGTGGTTGAATTCGACGGCTGGATACATGTTCTCTGATAATATTTTTTATCTTTTTTTATGAATGAAAATTTTACACATTTATCTTTCTTTTCATTTGTCAGACATGTGTATCGCATAGTTTTCGACAAAGAATATTGCAAAAGAAATCTAAAAAACTACAAAATTTACGTGACAATTCAACACTTGTAAGTTTTACGTAGTCATAATAATAATAATAATAGCTTTATTCCAAACAGTATTTGTGGTACAGGTATGGAATTTTCAGCGTGCATTACAATATATTGCATCTTATTACCTCATAAATTTTATAAGATTTTAAAATCAAAAAGCAACACCCCAAACAAGAAGATAAATAAATAAATAAAAGAACAGCGTTGCATTTACATTTTAAACAATGCACCACAGGAAATGAAATATAAAATTGCTGTGTAATAGAAGATGAGAACAACAGTGTAATAGTAACGAGGAAAGGAAAACAAAAACTAATGGGACTATTTGTTAGAGTGCCGCAGTAAGTTGATCGTGTCATACCTAACGGATTTCTCATCACATAACAGCTGTGCCAGATATGGTATTGTGGAGTATTAGTACTTGGTAGTCGTAGCATATAGCCTCCTATAGCTGCTTCTAGTTCTACCAGATGAAATGCAAGGAGAGAACTGCGTATAGAGAGGATTCTCAGGGTCTGACAATATTGTATTCGCTAGTTTCCTACATGACACTATATATCTATTCACAATAGTGTTAACCAGTTGGTTTAACGATATCCCACTTGCCCTACTAACGGCTTTTAGTGCCCTTCTCAGCAAAGCAAAGTCTTTCTTAAGTAGTCCAGGAAAGATTAATGGGGAGCAGTAAAGGGGGATGGGTAGAATACAAGAATTTACAAACTGAGAAAGCAAAGACTGCTTTATGCCAGACTGTCTAAATTTCCTAATGTAGGACGTTAAGCGAAACATCTTTCTAGTAACTAGCAAGATGTGGGAGGACCAGGAAAGATCGGTGGAAAAACTCAGTCCAAGGTACTTGACATTAGATGTATTTTCAACCTCTATGCCGTCAATGATAGTGGGGCCATGTGAGCTAACTAGTTGTTGTAGGTCACGTTTACGTCTGAAAGTGAAATTGACTACCTGACATTTAGACGGATTAAGCTTAAGTCCGTTTGAAGAGGACCACTGACTAATTTCCGACAGAAAGTTATTTAATTTGGAACAATCTGACTGAGAGTTGACAGGCATAGAAACAGAGAGGTCATCGGCATACTTAACAAAAGTGGCTACATCAGAATGAGGCAAGTCATGTAAGAAAAACGAAAACAGAAAAGGAGAAAGAACAGCACCTTGAGGAACACCAGCTAAAGTAAGTGAGGTAGTGGAGGACTTTCCATTGTAGACGGTGTACTGCTTCCTATCAGAAAAATAGGAATGCAACCACTTATTTGTCCAGCTCTCAGCCTGAGTTGCAGCAAGTTTACTTAGCAAGAGAGACCTGGGAACAGAGTCAAATGCAGATGTGTAATCAAGGAAGGCACAGCGAACGTATTTAGCTCCTTTATCTAAACTAGAGACTATACTTTGATGTAGGACAACAGCGGCATCTAAAGTACACCTACTATGTTTATAGGCAAACTGGTTGGGGTCATTGAAAGGCTTCAATTGTTTCATACCTGTCCATCTAATACAGTCTCTTTGTGAGTTTATTGGACAGTAGACGTGTTGTTTCACTGAAGAAGAGAGAAATAAATGTAGGCATTTAATGTGCCCAAGAAAGCATTGATGAAGGTGTAACTCCATCCACTATTTGAGTCACCTGACTACCAGCCAGTTTTGAGTAGTCAGAGTATCATCAGTCCTCACATATTAGGTTTTGCCCATATATATATATATATATATATATATATATATATATATATATATATATATATATATGAATAAATGGCAATGCAAGTGGTTGCCGCTATGTTATGTAATGTTACTCAGTCAGTTATATCACCTTGCTATCCCAAAATTCGGTAGGTGAAGCAGCGATGAAACTCATGACCCATTGGTTAGAAGTCTAGTACCTAGACCGATGAGCCATCGCTCCACAAGTGGAAGTTGAGTAACCAAAGAATTTGAATAATGCGATCAGAACAACGTTTGTAGGATAAGATGAATTCAATTGCATACAACCTGAATAATAAACTATATAAGCAATAAATGTAAAATAATTCAAACATACTTTGACTGTGAGAACAGCCAGTTACTTTGTTATATGAGTAGAATAACATGCGCAAAAATGGACTCTAGGTAAAAACTATACAGGAAGTTAGAATAATTAGTCAGGTGACTAAAATGAAGAACATTATGTACTATAAAGAGAGAGAGAGAGGAATGCTCTAGAATTTTTGGGTAATTTACTCAATAAGTGGGGCAGGCAGTCACATAGTCACATGAAAACTCACTCAACCAAAATGTGAAAGAGGTCAAGGCTAACAAAGGTATTAAGAACTAATAATAAGGGAACAGATGAATGCAATTATCAAATTTCATGATAAAAATGAATTGAAATTGCTACACACAAATTAAAGTCACGGAATGTACACATTGAATCATAGGAATTATTTAAAAATACGGTTGCAGCGAAGAAAATTTTCTTTTCGACGAAGTCATCATCTAGACTGCATATTCGTGTACTAATGATAAATGGTTTGGAAAATTCCAGAATAATTTCCGGCCAAGGATCAAATTAATAAAATTACAATTAGGAATTAAAATGATATAATAAACAGGGGAGGGGTGGATAAAGCTCAAATAAAGTAGCATCATAATTACTGAGAAGATTAACATATTGTGCAATCAGGGGTTAGAAATGTAGAAATAATAAAAATTGACAGGATGTTTGATAAAAAACCTAGTGGGATCATAACTGGTATGACGAATAATTGTTTATGCAGTTAAGGGATAAATGTGTAGAAATAATAAAATGACAAAATAGACAGGAAGTCCGAATATGAAAATATGGTAGTGTAAATAGGGGAGGGATTAAGAAAAACTTAAAAATAACATGAATAAACAGAAGTTTGGATGAGAAAGACAATGGATGGTTATTACTGAAAGAATTACCTGGTTATGATGGCCATGGCACGGACAAGGGTTGGACGTATTTCTTTTGGATACATAGCGTGGGTTTGAGCTTTTGCAGAGCCGGTGCCTCGATTGAAGTTAAAGTAAAGCGTCAGTGTTTACCAAGGTAGTAACAATCTCTTTTTGCACAGATAATTTAAGTTACATTGTTCTGTTAGTCATAGCTTCAAGAATTCCAAGCAATTGTGAAGTGCTCTGTCTGTTTACCATCTTTAATATATTCCACTGTGTTGATCTGGTATTCTGTATCAGTCAGACTGATTGCGTTGTTGCAATTTTTCCATGAAAGATTTTTAGATAATTCCTTTAGGATCCAAGGAGAACATAGAGCTTCAAGCTAGAGCTTTGAAGCTTCAGTATCAGGAGTGGGTTTTTAATTGAATGGAGTTGCTAGCCTCACGCCGAACCTCCCATCTTTTATCACGATTATGACCGGCTAACGAGTAAAGGTGTACGCCGGCCGAGGCTCGAACCTCGTACCACACGCATGGTTGGCCAACACTCTATAGCTGAACCACCGACGCGCACACAGACTACTGATAATGACCCCCAACTACATTTTTTCTTTCTTTAGTAATCGATAGTTTTTGACTTGACATTGCCTACATCTAGCTGGATGGTTGATTTGCCAAGCTTTCATAACCCTACTAGGTGACATCTTCAGCGCATACTTCAATTTGAAGTGAGCTTTTAGATTTCTCCACGAGTTTATTAATCATCTCTCCTGGTGACCTTGGATGTGACTGGTTGTTTTTGTGTGTTTTCACACCTTCTAGGCTACTTGTATTGGAACTGATTGTTTCTTCAACTTGAACTTTGACCCTTTGTGTGTGTGACGTTTCCTCCTTATCGGTTGATAAATTTTGTCTATCTCTATGTGTCTATTGATTGATGATTCACTGGAATGCCAAGTGGAAACAACAAGAATGCTAGAGAATTTTTCCAGTGAATCATCAATCAATAGACACATAGAAATAGACAAAATTTATCAACCGATAAGGAGGAAACGTCACACACACAAAGGGTCAAAGTTCAAGTTGAAGAAACAATCAGTTCCAATACAAGTAGCCTAGAAGGTGTGAAAACACACAAAAACAACCAGTCACATCCAAGGTCACCAGGAGAGATGATTAATAAACTCGTGGAGAAATCTAAAAGCTCACTTCAAATTGAAGTATGCGCTGACGATGTCACCTAGTAGGGTTATGAAAGCTTGGCAAATCAACCATCCAGCTCAGAGAACACAACCACATCAAAATCATCCACCTGAGCTACAAATCTTCTCTATCATATTGCCTACATTTACCTACATCATTCAAGCATAGTGTAGTGTAGTAGATTGTCTTCGTTAATTTGTTTCTCCTTCAAAAAAGCATTTCTGAAATATTTTAATGTTTTACTTATTAACCATGATTTTTGTCTTCTTTTTTGTTTTAATAATGCGATGAACGCACACACACACACAATAAAAAAGCAGCCGTCTAAACAACAGACGCCAAATACTTCCCCTCTTACACTTCATCAGTTAGAAATTAATCAGAATAAAACAAATCCTGAAACAACAGAATGTACTTTCAATGTCGACAATGAAAAATCTTGTAAGTAGTATATATATATGCTTTTTTTCCTTTTGTTTGCAGCATGTATTACTATTAGCACAAGACATATAAGCGAACAATATTGTTTTCAATTAGATCTTCTTCAGGCTTTACTCTAATTTACATAGACTTATATATATAAAATTTTAACCAATGACGGTGATTTTGTGGATCAAATAACAATAGTAATCATAATAATAATAGTAATAATAATGTGGTAAATGTTTTGAACGAAGTTAATAACGATGATTATAATAATAACAAAATATTGTTAATAAGGCTTATATAGGTGATAAGAATAACAAAGTTAGTATATGCATATATGTAGACGATTCAATAAATAAATAAATTAGGTCAAATCAAATGGAACGATAATCAGAGTTTAAATAAATATCATAAAAGTACGAAGGAGATGGAAGATAAGAAAGGGTGGGAGGGTTTCGAATATAATTCACCTAGGCCAAGGGAGAGACAAAGGTAGAACAAATTTCTTTTGTGTACAAAGACTAGGATTGTTCTCTCGAATTCCCATAGCTTCGGTTAAGTGTAAAAGTGAAAGATAAGTTACCTAGTTGTGCCACTTCCATGTGTATCTATAAATTTAGTTGCTCCTGTGGAGAAAGCTATATACGTCGAACAACTTTGAAAGCACTACTTTTGTCCACTTGGTGACCACTATCAATCAAATGAGCCAAAATAGAACTTCGTATGGATTTTATTTAACCTTTTCCGAACCATGAAGGAAGATGCTCATTAATGCGTCGGTGGCACAGTGGTTAGGACTCTCGCCGACCATGCACATGGTCCGGGGTTCGAGCCCGCACCGACGCACATCTGATATCTATGGTCGGCCTGCAAAATTTGGGCTACCGATATCCATGCTGAAAATTCCATACTTGTACCAAAAATACAGTGTGGAATCAAGCTGTAAATCAAAAATCAAAAATCAAAAAAAAAAATCAAATCAAATCATGTATTACTGTTTGTTACACCTACCTTATACATTCTCCTATTGGTTTTGATTTTAATGAATGAGAAGGGTTATTTTGTTGCTTCAGTGTTTCTCTACATTCATCCCCGCACTCGTGATTTTGACTAGTTCACACATGTTTCCTTTTTTTAAAAAAAAAAGAGAAGACGTTCAGCCAAGAGACTCTTTTCGACGGCGAATTCATCCACATAGCTACCTGTACAATCGCATTTATATAGAATTATTTGTATGTGTGTGTCAGTACATGAGGTTTGTCAGGTATAAATGATTAATCAGGTAATACGAGAATGATCTTATATGGAAACAAGGTTAATTAGACAGCAACTGAAGTAAGATTGAGTTAGTAAGTTAGATGACGTAATATAGTTGACTAAAATGTTTCAACTTAGGTCAGGTTAGCAACAGAAGTAATTACAGGTGGAGACTAAGTAGAAGTGGGGTAGATGATGATGATGCCATTTAAATTAGAACTGAAATTGAGCAAATAAGTAACATAACTGACATAACATAAATGACTAGAAATTGAGCGTTGGTCAAGTCAGTAACAGTGGTAGTGAGGCGCAGAAATTAAATCGGGTGGAGGTAGTGAACAAGGAAGTTGAAAATGCAAAATATTCCATTTGAGAAGACAAAATAATACTAATGAAGAGACAGAAAAAAAAGATTAGGTGGAATTTGCTTGTCGGGTAATAAGATAGATAAAGTCCATTGCAAGTGTAGTTAGTGATTGAACGAACTTCTTCTGTATGCAGAGTTCAGGACTTAGCAAGTGAATCGCCATTGCTTCTGTAGTTTGAAGAAGTCTGATTCGTACACCTTTAGGAAGACTACTTCTCACTCTTTAGACGACTTTGAAGTTTGTTTGGGGTGCAGCTTGGTGTCCGGATTCCATCAGATGTTCTACGATGGAACTGCGCGGGCATCGTTCTTCTCCTTTGTAAAACCATGCATGTTGGTAAGTGTTCGGTCATACGTTTTCTTTTTTATTTTGTGATGAATATTGATTAAAAGGTTAGTCTAAAATGGTAGTAGGGTATAACAGGAAGACAGTATCACACCAAACGACGCGGTATTCATTTATGGAGCATTGAGTGAACGATGTATTATGATACCGAGTATTCAATTAAGTGCTTTGTTTTTCCTCTAAGTTGCACTCCTATGTCATAGATTGATACTCACCTCGGAGGTATATGTGCTAAACTGCGCATGGCCCTTGCGAAAGGATGACACGTCAGTTTATATTTCAAGCGTTCCATATTTTCTGTGCATCAGGAGGTCCAGGATTTGATCCCCAGCTGACGCGCACTATTAAACCGCCTGATTTATTAACCTGAAGTAAGCTTGCAAAAGCAGGGAAGATTGGGTGTGTTAGGCTATCTATCAACCCAATAAAAACAAAATCACCACTACTACTGATACTTCAAATCTTTAGGGCGTATATTCCACTCAAAACTCAAAGAGCGAAGTGTGAATATTGTGAGTGATGTATGTGATATGACCGGTAGTATAAGCGAGTAGACTTTGAGTAATATAAACCTAAGGTGTTAACGAAGCTATTTTCACCGCTATTCACATCGTTAATAAATTTTATCGTGAGATACAAAACCTCATATGTTGTATTAGTGTACTTACTGTACATTGCTATTCGTAATGGACCACTTTGTTGCTATAGGTGAGACAGTCGTTCAGTGAATACTACGGCTTGAACAGATTTCGGTAATATTGGACGACTTCAACATTACTTTCTGTATAATTTATCTGATAGCAGTTGGTAGGAAACGTTGGACGTAGGTTTCGCACTATTTGGCACTCGTAAGAAGGCGTGTCTGTGACCTTGAAGGAAATCATGTCCCTTCTAATATTCGAACCCGCATCGCCTAGTGCTGCAGTTAGTGACTTTGCCCTAAGCTAATTGGGTTCATTAAGTGACATACGTTCCTTCAAGGTTACAGGTACGCCTGTCTGACGAGTGCCAACTAGCGCGAAACGTAGATCCAAGGCTTCCTGTCAATTATATCCAACCATACAATTTCAAATAATCTTATAGTAAAATATATCCAGTGCAAATTGAGGCTATGTGCATCGTGAATTTTAGTACTATATAAGTAATTAGAAACGCTAGAATTTTGAGCTATTTAACTCATTCCGTAACATCATTTCAAGCGGATACTGCAATACCTCGATTCCTAAGATCATATCATACACCTTAATATTTTTGCACAATTGGATTATTTTTCTTAAATTGAAACATCTCCACTTGTGAATATTCTTCAAACTTTTTGTATACTCATTTTTTTTTGACAACTGTGCTTATAATAGTGATGGAAGTATTACCACCAGATTTTATCTGGAAAAACTTCATAGTCATTTAGTTAAATTAACTATTCAGTGATTTTGCTTAACAGGTAATATATTGGTTTCAACAAGATCCCGTAGTTAAATGTTTTGATCGAATCTTCTTCAGTGCTCCGTATGCAACGAATATCTATCTCAACAACAACAACAACAACAAAATATTGTCGTTTCTATTCAGACAAAGTAAGATGGGATCATCGGTGGTTCAGCGGTAGGACGCTAGCCAACAACGCTTGTGGCTGGGGGTTCTATCCTCGGTTGACGCACTCTTAGATTTTAGTTAGTTTGGTAAAAAAGGAAGGTTGGATGTCAGGCTAGCAAACCCAACTCGTAAAAATAAAACTACCGCTACCGAAACTTCATAGCTCTAGCTTTAAGCTCTGTGTTGCACTCGGAACTTAAAGGAATAAAATAAAATGTAAGAAATCAGTTGTGTGTATTATGGAAATGATGGAGAAGATTCAGACCTCTTGGAGGATGATATCGGTGTAATTGAGTTCTTTCAGCTGAATAGTGTTTATTCGTGAAGCTGAAGTTTCTTTTCCCAGAGAACAAAACTCTACTCAAAGCAGTGGAGATTTAACAACGAACACTTGAAAGTTAAGAATTATTGAAATATATTTGATTGTCTTGTGTAATGTAGTGGGATATTTAAATCTCTAATTGCTAGTGTATTCTTCTTGAAGTAGAAATACGTTTCAATTTATGAATGGTATAAAGTGTTCATTTAAAATGTTATCTTTTCTCTTTATTTTTCTCCTCTTACACTTTTTACAATAAACTATAGTTTGTTGGTTGTTTATTTAAAAATTATCGCTATTCTTTTTTTTATTAGTCTCCCGATTAGATTCAAATGAACATCCTCCTAGCCATTCAACATGGCCACCTCCATCATCGAACAACTCCTCCGTTTAAATTTATCCTCAAAACCAGAAGAAAGTTCGTTAAATTTAAAGTCAAGTATTACGACTGGTGGCAGTGGTGTATCTATAGCGTCTTCAACAAGGCGTCGTCTACCCGCTGAAAACTCTTTATCAAGAGGTTCTTTGAATAATACCCTTGTCAATAATTCAGGAAATTCGAATGAGTAAGCCATTTTATGTAAAAATAAAACAACAACATTGAAAATACATGCATGCTCTCAATTGCTTTCTGAATAGTTTTTCTGACTACAACACTGAATAAAGCCTGGTTGAATCTCAGTCAGGACATCAGTTCCTCTGGATGACCTTGCTGTATATCACTAATAATCATAAATCTAAGGTACCGAGACCTTCAATCGTTCAACGTGTTCCTCTTTTGTTCCTTTGAGTGATATGCTTGAGGAATCACGAGACCTATACTTTCAACAAACGGCAGGGTACTTATTATAGGCATAATGTCTTTCCACATTTCTTATTCCTTTTATCGTTTAATTTGAACTGATTTGACTCTCTGAGCTGAGTAAAACTCAGGGCTTACCTTATTAATATATGTGTAAAACTTGGGCACTGCGTCGGTGGCACAGTGGTTAGGACTCTCGCTGACCGTGCACATGGTCTGAGGTTCGATTCCCTGCCGACGCACACCTGATATCTATGATCGGCCTGCGAAATTTGGGCTACCGATATCCATGCTGAAAATTCCATACTTGTACCAAAAATGCAGTGTGGAATCAAGCTGAAATCAATAATAATAATAATAATTCCATATTAGTTTGTTTATTAGATACATCACACAGTGAAACAATATTATTTACTGGATGACGTTTCGAACAAAATTTATTGTTGAGTTGATGTGTTCGAAAAATCTCGATAGTGATGATAATACTAATAATGATAACAATAATAATGATAATAATAATAATAGTGATAATAATAATAATATTAATGACTACACTAACAATAAGGAACCTAAATCATCAGTAGTAATTCCATACAATGAAGGAACCTCGGAAGCCTTACGCAGAATTCCTATCAAGGCAGGAATAAAAGTGTCCGGCATTCAAACCACACACAAACTCGATTAGAATCAAGCATTGTCGGTCAAAGGAACAATCCTGTGGAGCCAATTAAACAAAACAATTTAGTTTATCTAATACCCTGCCTACAATGATTATCAGGTCAAATACATAGTTCAAACTAGTAGAACAGGGGCACTCACACTAGCTGAACATAAAAACCCAGCAAAATCTAGTTTGGTTGACCCGAATAAGATAAGAAATCTAGTTCAGCTAAAGCACTACATGCAGTTATACACAACCATACAATAGGATGGATGGGTTAAGGTGACAGTTTTGACATCTAATGTCATAGGGTGGAGGGAGAGATTGATAACAGAAGTTTTGTCTATCGAATCAACTGCAAATACATGTAATAAGAATGATTCAACCAACATTTGTCTCAGATATCTGGAAAATTCTATTACCCCTACGACAAATAGGAGAGGACAAAGAAAACTATAAACCTCAAATTCCGAAGTTGTGTGATTACAATTGATATGATTATGAACAATAAATTTTGTTCGAAACATTATCCAGTAAAAAATACTGTTTCACTGTGTGATGTATCTAATAAACAAAGTAATATGGGCTTACCTCTTGTGAACTCAGCTCCAAAGAAGGAGAGAACGACCCTCCAGTGTTTAGATCACTTTGATCTGTCTACTAAGCATTACTGGTTGATGTGAGTGGCATACAACTATACTCATCTCACTCAATCAGCAGTGTATTATTGTTTTATGCATTTATGCATCGCTTTTTTATTACCATGTATGATATCGTGGAGATCACGTATTGCAATTTGAATATTCTTTTGGTCTTCAAAGGAAACTATGTTGAAATTTCACCTTCTTGAACGGTACAGATCGCAAATCACGAATTCAGTCTATTTCTGGTTTACTTCTTTACATGAGCTGAGTACTTTTAATGTGCGGGGGGGGGGGAATCGAAACGGCTCATTGACTTAGCTTTTTAGTCTTGACCAAAGGCTTTTTGTTTTTTTGTGTGTAGTAAACACGTTAAGATTGTATAACTTCTTTGTCCAATAAACGTGAGCATAATAGTGGTGACTATTTAACTAGCCTAATCACCGTATGAAATAGTCAGTCGTAACAGATAATCAAACTTTTTAATTAAATAACTGTGTTGATTCTGTTGAAATAAGGAACTAGGTTGGGAAAAAGCTAGGAATGCTAAGATGAAAATGTGACATCAGCTCATGAAGCCTTTGATTTTGGTATCGTTCTACATAGGGAGTGTGGATATCTTGGCCTGTGAGTTCCTCGGGATGTTAAGAATCAGTGGGTTCGTGAATGCTGGTAGCATACCTGAAAATCACTGCTCTCACTTGGCCCATATATATTCTCTATAGTTTGGTTTGTGTAAGGGTTAGTTTTGTTTTTACGAGTTGATCACGGATTGATATCAGTTAGAGAAGCACTGAAAACCAGGGAGTACTGGACAGCTGCCGTTTCATCTTAGTTTGGGAACCATCAGCAGTACGCACTCACTGGGGTTCGAACCCAGGATGTTCCACGATGACATTGGTTGGGGTCGCACTAAATCACAAATTGGTATAAGTTAGAATTCATGGACCATTGAATCGGATTCCAGTAGCTGAATGGTATACAAGCTTGCCTTGTAACTGGAAGTTCCTGGGTTCAAACTCCAGTTGTTGCGTACTGCCGAGGGTTCCCAAACTAGGATGAAACAGCAGCTGTCCAGTACTCCGTGGTTGGTTTTCAGTGGTTCTCTAACTGATATCAATCCGTGATAAACTCGTAAAAAGCATTATTTAATTAAATTTGAACTTCTTGTTGAGCTCAGTCTCTGTCAACGACATGTCGGTGGATGCTTCAACGATGTCTGAGGATTTAATTTGAAGTAATCAATCAATGCGAAAGTTCAAATTGAATTACACAATAAGAACTGATACCCATTGCACAAGAGATGCCTCTCATGGCCCAAGTGGTTTTGTGGATGACGCGTCGGCGTTTGAAATGATATATAGTGGGAATGAGTGTCAGTGTGGGGTAACACCATCACTCACTCGCTCACTAGGGCGTGCAGGTACATCTACCAGCTGACGAGTCCTAAATAAGCCGATGAACTGCGCATGCTGGATTCCACTGTTAGTTACCATCCACTAAATTACTTCAATTTATAAACATCTTAAGTATTAACCTTCATCTATTTGAACACTGAATACTGTTATCTTTATGTTTTCATTGCCTACGAAGCAATTTAGAGTACAAACTCACCAAGGCGATATATACATATAACGTTGAATGTGTCCAAATTTTAGTTTGTGCTAACTCTAATTTATTTATTTGTGTAGCTTAGCAACGCAACTGTTTATATTTGTATTCTGAATTGAATTGTTGATTTTAACATTTAGAAGAAGAAGGTCATCCTACTTTCTTTATACGCTAACACCTTTAACTATACGACAACAATATTCCATTTACTTATTTATATATACATATTATATAAACTTGTACCCTAGGTATATAATAATAATAATAATATTAGTTTCATGTTAATGCTTTGAATATACAATGTTTTACTTCTATGCTGATGATTTGTAAACAAAAGTACAGGTGTTATTTCTTGTACAAGATTGATGTCTACTGAAGTAACTAACACTAGGAGTAGGTAGCAGTAGTTGATGTTGTAGAGTGCCTGATTCTACATTGTTAACTAACCTACAATTTAGTGATCTTTGAGTTATTTTAGTTTAGAAAATTCGTCACTGACCTCCCCAGTTTATAAATTTATTCCACTCATTTTAGTCTCTTGCCAAATAAAACAAAAAAACAATGTTATTTGCATTTTTATAAGGACTGGAATGTGAAATCCAGGACATAGACTTCTAGCCTCATGGGGGATGTATAGGTATCATGTCGTTATGACTCGTCAGCTCTAACATTATTTATTAGACTGCTGAATCACAAGAAATACCCCTTGCAAAGCAGGTGAATAGGTGAATTCTGTGATTTGTGTTGTCTCACTTATCTACTGCTATTACTATTATTGCCTTGACTTCCAAGTAGAACATAGGGCTTCAGTTGAACATATCCATTTCATCCTGCCCTCTTCAGCTGGCTTCATGATTTCTTCACATGATCTCTTCCGTGTCAACGTCGAACGACCAACTCTCCATTTTCCATTAGGAATATACTTGATAGCCTGGCACGCGACGATGTCACTCAATCGTTTTCCTAGACTGTGTCCAATTCTTCTCAATTTCCTTCGGCATATTTGTTGGGTGATAGATTCTTTCCCAGAGTTCATTTTTTTGCTAATACTTTCTGGTCGGCTTTCTGATGGAGACAATGAAGGCAGCTGTAGATAAAAGTCTACAGTATACAGTCGAAAATGCAGTTGGTGACGTACCATACAGAATCACTGATTCACTTGACATTGGTGTTCACAATCCGAATTTCGCTTCTCATTCAAAGTGTAACAGATATGTACACTGGTTTAAGATTTTGCATAGCTTTGTCTTCAATTGCCTAGTCGTTGTTTTTTATATTTGAAGCTTAGTTTGGGCTTTAGTGGGGATACAGATATATCTAAATGACAAAATTCCTATTATGAAATGAATTATTCTCATGGATTCCACTGTCATTCACTCCTGAACAAACACTATCACAAAATAGTCTTGATAATATTTAGTTAATTGATGAAGAATAATGATTTGTCCACAGATGACAACTCAATTCGTAAAGCGAATAAATTGTGGGGAAACTATTTTAATTTGCTAACAGAGACAGAGCATTTATTTCTCATGATTGCAGAGTCAGGCAGATGAAAGCTTGAGGCCCGTCATATATCGTTTGTATGGAGAGGTACAAAGACCTTACCACTCACCACACAGTAAGAAGGTATACATAATTTTTCAAGTGATATATCTTATCCTCGACTCTACCAAACTGAAGGGTAGCATAATTGGTTTAATCGTCGTCTGAAGAAAACATGTTACTAGGGGTTGCCAACCTCAATGGCAGAAATACGACTTTACCCACAGACCTACCGCTCAATGGAAGTGAATTACACTACGACTACTTTTAGCCTAACTGCTAATTTGGCATGGTAAAGTGTGCAAGAATATCCATTCCAGTCAATGTAGCCCCTGAGTCATTTTCGATATATATTTCAATGTAGTAACTGCCGGTGCAACTGTTTTAAATAATGTAATAATAATAATAGCAGTGGTAGTAGTAATGAGTAAAGTAGATTTCTGTCCTGAAAGTAATTTAGGCTGGAAATGTATTTAAAAGCTGGTTTAAGTTAGAATTACGATTACGAAAATGATTTCCAGCATTAAGCTTCTTATAGTTTTAAATCGATGTTTGTTTAAATATTGTATAAAGGCTATCATATACATCACTATGAATGTATATGGTTTGAACGTTTTTGTAATTTGTGATTACTGATCGCTTGCATTTCTAGACATCTGATTTTCAATGGACTAATCTGACTAATTAAAGAAGTCTAAATCAAGGAACAAAGGGAACAAGATTTGCATTTTCAACACCAATGTCAAGTCGATCTTTCTATACGGGTCAGAAACTTGACCAACGTGTCACGAAGAGGATTTCCAATGGTTTGCAGACTTCCATCAACAACGGCCTTCGCTGACTCCATACTGAAGATCGAGTGGCCGGCTGGCCAACCAGAAAGAAGAAACTCTGGTTGGAGACAAACCAACAGGCAAGAGCCGATCGCTCAACAAATATGTAGGAGAAATTGGTGATATATTGTGCATACATTGAAGAGGTCATCGGATGACATTGCATGCAATGCAGTTCATCGCTCAACTGGAATCCCAATGGGAGGACAGTAGAAAATAAAGAGATTGGAGGTGTATTATCGAAGTCCTATATTTCACTTAGAACCCAAGGGAATAATAATAATAATAAATCAAGGTACTTTTAATTAATTAAATAACTGACTCACTAATTGTCAACTTAGAACCTTGAACAGAATTACAGGAGTTCAATTTGCCACTTTTTTGTTGCAAACAAATGTTAAGGAAAAAATGCTAGTGAACTACAACCAACGGAAATTTACTACAGAAAGAACAAGTACATGGAAAATAATTACAATCTTATGGATCCGGAAGTTTGTAAAGAGTGAATATATGTGCGCCACTGAGAGTGATTTCGCTCCGTGTCACCAACAGTCTCCAACTATTGAATGTTAACATGCTGAGAACTCACAGTCAACCAGTCTACAGTTCCGTATGTGTCTCAAACCAAGTGTCAATTATTTCCTGAATTTCCAGGGTTTTATTCAACAATCACTCACCCTCTTCTAAGCTAATCCTATTTCACCTAACATTACTTGATATGAAAAGCTATGGTATAGAATGTGTAATACATGTACAAATCATTTCAATAAATTCACCTACACATCCCCATCGTCTGACTTTGTCTCTTTACCTAACACCTGACGCCTAACATCAGTATTACTTACCATATATTACTGTTTAACTTGGGAGATAGAACGCAAGCACTTATGTGAAAAAGTCTATGACCTCTTCAGGACTTCCACTTTCATTGGACAGAGTAAACTACTGTCCCATTTGATATCATGTCTACGTCAAATATGTAATAAGTTCGCAAGCTCCACAAGAGCCTTTTGCATACGCACTGAAATTACGTCAGCAAGCAGTTCGTTTGGGCCAACGCAACTTCCCAAATAAATGGAGAGTGGTCAACACGGTCAATCATATCAATCTGGTCTATTTTTAAACTAAGAGTCGATGTAGACCAATCCCGAAACACCACCTAACATTTAACTGGAATGACTCGTGTGCTGACCGCGCTGAAATTCCTGTTCTAGGCGTTCAGAATCCTCTGTATTTAGTGACCCTCTTCACCTAGGAGGATAATATCATCCTCATATTTTATGTCGAGAAGACTATATCCGCGTAACGAGTCAATCCCTCAGTCGCTGAAGTAGATTTGGATCAAATCCACCATTTGCACATCTATGATAAAATTAAACAAAAATGGAGAAATTGGAGATCTCTGTCGAAACTCGATGATTGTCATCACTGCAGATGACAACTCTCCATAAATCTGTACTAGACTACTTGAGTTCGATTAAAAGTCTTTAGAATGTTATTAAGCGACAATTGAGTTTGAAAACCATCAAACGCTTGGGATGTGCAGAGCCCGAACAATAGTATGCAGGTTATTAGATCAATATTACCAATAATTTAGTTACAAGACAACTTCTGACCATATTTTGAATTCAGTTTAATCACTGGGAAATGCGATTACATCCAGATGACGAGTCCCAAATAGGACGAAATGCGCATCCTAGATTCCACTGCTAGTTACCATCCCTAAATTAAATTCTAATCACTGAAGGTTTTCAATTCCTAGTCGGTTGCCATTTGTCGATCATTATCACATAATATGATTTAACTGTTAGTTCAGGTGCTGTTATGAGGTGTAGACTGTTTGAGGTGCTAAGGATCAATGGCATGAGACTGGTGATAACATGACACAAAATCGCTGTTAGTGTTCATAAAATCCCCCATTATTCTCCATGAAACCATTCTATCCCCGCATATTCCTATTATGTTGTAGTTTCTTTTACTTTATTCCTTGCATTCCATCTTGGACATACGGCTTTAAAGTCTCAGTAGTAGCGTTGGTTGTATTTTTTTGGACGCTGAGGTTGTTAGTCTCACATCCAATCTTCCCTCTACGCAAAGTGTAGGAGCGAGTCGTTTGACCATCAAACCTGTAAATCTCGCGAATTTGGCATGCATGCACATGGTCCGGGGTTCGATCCCGGCCACTGACGCACTCCTTTACCTAGCTAAGCCAGAAATAATCCTGGTAAAGAGGAAAGGTTGGGCATGGGGCTAGCAACCCCATCCTGTAAAATTCAACACTTCTACAGAAATTTCAAGCCACTAGCTTGAAGCCATATGTTCCACTGGGGAACGTGAAGGAAAAAAAAAGAAAAACAAATAAGATTGGGTAGATATAATTTCTTCTTTCCTCCTGTGTATGAATTCTTGTTATGCATCTAATTTCCTTTCTTTCTTTGTTTCTCTCTTGTACTAGTCCAATGCACCCTATGTCCCATTCTACAGATACTTCAGTCAATAGTGGAGATACATCTATGAAATTAAGTGATTATGATAAAAATCCCCTACCAGATAAACCATTACTTAAAGGTGGTAAATCAGTTGGAAGTCTTTCTGGAACTCCACCAACACTACCAAGTGCTCTTAATCTAGTCAGCTCAGATGATTGGGAGGATAAAGTCAGTGGACTTGAATTACTGGCTCAAATATTCACTGAACAATCAATACACTTAGTGCAGACTACACAAACTGGTTCAGCGTCTGCAGGTTCTTCAAGACAACCTGCAACCAATTTATCTACATCTGCACCAACATTGGTTATTACTTCAGAGACACTTAGTCAAACTGTACAGGCAGTAATTACAGAATGTAGAAATTTACGCTCTCAGGTATGTGACCTTTTATTTATTCTAATAGAATATCTTTAACACAGCAAAATGTTCTCTATCTCAATATGGTTGACTGAAGAGTAAAGTTAATCGTGACCTACTGTATTATCGGCATAAGATTCTTTAATTTAAGTGATGTAATGTCAACTGCAGACTCTGAGGTTTGGTAATTATGACTCGTTACCACTTCTGCAGTCGTGGTTGCTTAATCACATCATTCTTATATGATACCTTAATAGGGGTTCTTTATTGTGTGTGTGTAATTGCTTTCTGACTTATGAAAGTTTGACTTTTCTTACGGAATTTATTGTTATTATTCCCTTAGGTTTCGAGTGCAACAGAAAACGTCAGCATCATACTTCCGCTTCATCCTGTGCTCTACAGTCCTCTTCCATGTCACCCTCAAACGCCCAGCTCACCGTTTCCCATTTGGTTGCCAATCTAAGGCTTGCTTGGCGGATGATTTCACTTGACATTTTCCTCAGTGTATATCCAATCAATTTTCATCTATTTCGGCATATTTCTTGGCTATAGGTTCATGGTTGATTCGTTCTCAGAGTTCGCTGTTTCTTATCGTTCCTGATCTTCAGCATGGAGCGAAAGTCGCTGTTGATGAAAGTCAGCAACAAGATATTGGAAATACTTTTAGGGACGTGTGCATTAAGTCTGTGAACTATTTAGAAGCACTGACCTATCACTGATGGTGAGAATGCGAATCTTGTTCTCTATGCTGACTGCAGAAGGTTTTCATACTGATTTCAAGTTAATGAATGTATGGCTTGCTTTTCTGATCGTGTCTGTGACCGTACCGGCTTTAGTTGAGAAACTGCTGAGTAGACAAGCGAAAGAAGGGACTTCCTTCAAATTTTTCTCTTTTATGGTGATTTGTGAGTGTTGTCGGTTAGATATCTTCACCACCTATGTTTTCTCTACGTTTACTTGAAGTCATGTCTTTGGTGCTCAGTCTCTCACCTGGTAAACCTTCGTGTGCATGTGTGTGTGTGTTTGAATTAGATATAAGTCATCCACAAAGTCTCGATTTCCTAGAATCTTCTCGTGAGCCCAGTGTATTCTTGTCTTCTGGCTCCCCATAGTCTGCCGCATGATATGGTTTACTGCGACCAGAAATACCATCGGTCACACTTATGTAGTTTAGGTGAAACTTCTTAATGAGAGATGAATTATAAACACTTTGGCTAATTAAATCACTTGACACTACATCAAGTATGATGTTTCAATGCTTAAAGGTCGAAGTCTACTCAGTCCTTTTTTATCGTTAGGCAAACATTTTAACGTTATACTGTTCAGTTTGAAAACATATTTCACGTTATTCGAAAAATAACACTTCGTACATTCAATATTACAGTAGATGTGGGTTATTTTTTAATTGTTTATCTATTTTGAAGTTGTTTATTATTATTAATCACCTATGATCTGACAACTTCATCAGAAATATATTTATATTATAAGAAGTGAGTATTATTATTGTTCCCTTGGGTTCTTAGTGGAACATAGGCTTCAACTGCACGTCTCCACTTGTGATCTGTCTTCTGCTGTACTTTTCACCTGCATCCATGTTAGTCATACTGTTTCAACTCTTCTTCACACGATCCCTCCATGTCGCCCTTGCACTGACGACCCATTCGCCGCTTCCCTTTCGTGTTTCACTCGAGCAATGGCCTGACGCGCACGTGATGTCACCCAGTGGCCTCCTCAGCGCGTGTCCAATCCATCCATCTCCACTTTCTCCTCCATATTTGTTGGTTGGCGATTGGTTCTTGTTTTGTTTCTTCCTTCCAATAGTTTCTTGTTGGTGATTCTTTCCAACCCGGCCATCTGATCTTCAGTATAGAGCGAAGACAGTTGTTGACAAGGTCTGCAACAGGCTGTTGGAAATATTCTTTGTGACTCACCCGCCAAGTTTCTGATCCGTATAGAAGAACTGACTGACTTGACGTTTGTATTCAAAATCCGAATTTTGTTGTTGGTGCTGAATGACGAAGATTTCTAGATTGGTTTCAGGTTGATTATTGTGTTTCTCGCCTTCCCGATTCTCGTTCGATTTGACATCCTCGTCCGTTCCCCCTAGATAAGTGAGTGAAGTAACCTCTTTCAAATCCCTCCCGTTGATGGTGATTGGCGCTGGATGTTGCTGCTGCTATTGTTGTTGGTTGGTTCAAATGTCTAATGGTCATTTGTTTGATCTTAATTGGCTTATGTTTACATACTACATATAAGTTCCAGCCAGTACTGATGTCACCATTTGGAGTTTTGTCCACTACTGTTTGTATTTACTTGTAGGCATTTTTCTTCTTCTCCTGATCTGGATTGTTTGTAGGTGTATAATTCAAACTTTTCTTCCTTTCAAGCTTAATCTTGTTGTCATTATACTGGAGAATAGTGGTTCCCACTACATGTACTACATCGATGCTACTACTGTCAGCAAATTTTCAGTGTACTGTTGGTTGTTGTCTATGTGACTGGAGTGGATTATTCACTCTCCAATTACCAGTTTGGAGAGTCCACTTCCGGATTCTTAACACTTTATGTGTGGTATCTTCTCATTTCTCCTCCAATCTGAACAACTTTCTCAGCCTCAAACACCATGCGGATGTTCTATTTCTTCATATTTACTTTTGCTTTTATCTCTTTGAAGATATATCAGTTGACTAGTTTCGTGGAAGCCTTCACCTAATTGACTTCAACCATCCTCGAATCGAGGTGTCATACCGATTCCAGCGAAGAATCAGTTTCTTTTTGTGCTTTTAACTTTTGGGTAGCGATATGAGGTTTCTAGCTCCACTTCCAACCCCCCTCCCCCTCTTTTTTGGCCTTAAGATCGGTTAGTCAACTATCCGAGGGTTTTTTTTGTTTTAGTTTCTTGAAGTTAAAACACCCCTGATAGGAAATCCTTGCTATAAATAATCGATCAGCGTACGTGCGTACGTGTAATCACATTACACTGGTCCTTTTTTCACACATATTTCAGTCACCATAGTTAAATCAGCATTCATCTTGGTCAATTTTGTGTACTATGTAAGGTATTTTTAGCAGTGGTGTACATTTTCTTTCTTTACGAAGTGTAATTCAAATGCCAATAAGACTAAATGTTTGTTTGTGTATAGCTCTAATGGCAACCGATACATTTTAAGCATTGATAATTAGTCATCTTTTCTGATGATAATATGGATTTATTATGTTTTAGTTTCACCTCACTTCGTAGATTGTTGCATAACCCAATGCGAAGAGTTATCCTTCAGCATTGTGACATAAACTCCTATTATTAGATGGTTGTAAGCAATCTGCAGGAATCTGTACATCTGTGACTCGTCAGCAAGACGTAACCTCTGTAACCTCATAGAAAGTGATTTCGCCTCTGAGATCCCAAACCTCGTCAGTGAGTTCTGTAGTCAGACACGTTGTCACTGAATTATTTGGAATCGCAGATGAGTATGCGGATTAAGTGATTAGTGTTATTGTCGGTACAAATTCTTTGACCGCTGTGTTATGTATGACTAAAAATCACGCGATTCAGAACGAAAACTTTAAACATCTCTTAGCATGTGTTGTGTGTCGTAACAACTGTATACGTGATGTGGACTGGAATTTACTGGTTCCAGCTCACAGGCAATCTGACGAAAGAGCTGACGAATGAATCATTTTCTCTGTGCTTACAACTGTTATTGTAGCAATTAAAAACTTTACTCAGCTTCCCACATCGAGTTCTATACCTTGTAACTATTCTCACCTTTTCAAGTATTGGTTTTGTAGGGAATTTTGTTTGATTTCTTGGAGGATTTCATCATGAGCTGACATCAATTGGAGAACCACTGGAAAACCTGCCAGGAGTACTGGTCAGTTGTTTCGTCCTAGTCTGGGACTCTTCACAGTACGCACCCACCTCCTTAAGCTATACATTTGTTTCACAAAAGACAACTACTACCCCAATATGGCAGTTGGAGTTCTATATCGTAATGCCTCAATCAGCTTTATTAGCTGGAAAGAATGTTTCTGCGGGTCCAAAATAAACGAATTTGGATTTTTTTCTTCTGTTTAAACCAAAACAAGTAATGAGATCTCCGCTTTCCGAAATTCCAGTAACTAGTTGAACATGATCATGATCACTTCCATTGATTAGCCTCATCTCCAAGGTGATCAACCATTGACAGGTGTTAATTTAGTCTTTATTCAACTCTTGAGTATGCACTTACTGCTGTGTTGTAATGTAATATTTGGTTTCTTGTATTTTTAAAACTTTATTTTTAATTCTTTATTTATACTTTTTAATAGGTTTCACGTCAAGCTGTACAAACTATGGGTAGTTTATTTCAGGGATTGAATAGAGCAATGGATCCACACGTGGATGTATGCATACGTGTATTATTAAGTAAATGTGGAGAAGCTGCTGCAGCTTTCCTACGTGATGAAGTCAGTGTGATAATGGATGAAGTAGTTCAGTATGCCAGTCCATCACGTACATTACAAGCATTAATACAACACGGATTAGGGTAAGCGTCTGTTATTTTTCTTTTGAATAACGTATCTAACTGTTTTTCTATAGTTTGGTTTGTAAGAGTTAGTTATGTTTTTACGAGTTGATCACGGCTTTATATCAGTTAGAGAACCATTGAAAACCAACCAAGGAGTACTGGACAGCTGCTGTTTCATCCCAGGAAACTCCATCCTGGAGTTCTAGTGAGAAGTCGTGACCTGTGTGTTAATGTCTGTGTAATGATAAAAGCAGTTGATATATTGAATTCCATTTCATTTTGATTGCTGTCACCAAATCTGTCATATCCTGATGTTCTGATTGTCTGTTATAGTTACTTTTTCCTAGTGATGAAAAGTTATTTCACTGTGGGATAACAAAGATAGAAAATAGCCAAACAGTTGTAAGGTTACCGTCTTTATCGCTTAAAAATATGGTTACCAACCTAACGTGGAGGAAGTACTCCTCACAAAAGTGAATGGGCAAATTTGAACTTCTCGTGTTTACAACTGGACTGATGGACTTTCTGACCTACCTACAAGCGTGTCTGCGAAAGCCTGATTCCAAGCCTGGAATCTGTAATGGTCGAATGGCGTATGAACTTTTTTCAGTTAACGGAAGGTAGCTCCTGACGCTTCTCCACTACATAGATCTTTGGATCTGACTTCAAGTTAAAGGTTCAGGGGTGGGCGTCTGTTGCCCTCCCAAGACAACCCGCTGCTTTATGTTTGAGCGTCTGGGTAGTACAGTATTCCAGCCATCGCACAAACTATAAGATTTTGTGTAGCGCGTCTCTTGGTGTCCATCGTTCACCAATTTTTAATAATAATAATAATAATTCATGATTTTTTTTCATTTTTTCTAATATTTTTTCCAAAAAACAAGAAAAACTCTTATCAAGCTGAAGTGCTTGTCCTCTTTAAAAAAAATCAAATATTTGTCGGCGGCATTTTAGAGCTGTATTCCACTTTTATTGACAAGTTTATCGCTTATGTATCATTTCCACTATTGGTGCCGCTTCCTGCAAAACAATCTTCTTGGCTTCACTGTCATCATCATCATCTTGCTATCTCTATTAATTGGATCTGTTGAGTATAAAAAAGAAAGAAAGGAAAAATAGGAGGACTTTTCTCTCAATAGTGTAGATGGTATTTCATACTAGCGGCTCGAAAGCTTCTAACTTCCTCTTGACTCCTCTTAGCCTGTATCTGTGTATCTATTTACCTGGATGTGAATTATGTTTTGATACTGTTTACTTCGCACTTCACTTTCCTCGTGTTATTATTGTTTTTATTATACTGTACGTAAACTACCGTGAATATTTTTTTCTTTTCCTTTCTGTTTTGTAAGCCATGTCGCATTTGTCTTACCTTGAAATATATCCCTCATTAACTTGCATACTTCAGACTGGAATTAGGCGCTGACATTTAAACCAACCAACTCACTCAGAGACAAACTTTGTTTTTGACTTAAGGACCTGATGGATCCAATTAGATGAAGTAATACTAAGTCGCATCATCCTGGAGAGAATCAAACAAGCCCTAGATGAAAAACTTCGTCCGGAACAGGCCAGATTCAGGAGAAACAAATCATGTTTTGATCAAATCGCCACTCTACGGATCATCATTGAACAAAGCTTGGAATGGCAGTCACCTCTCTATCTCAACTTCATCGACTTTGAGAAGGCCTTCGACAGCGTCGATCGAGAGGTGATTTGGCAACTACTTCGCTACTACGGGGTCCCATCGGCAATTATACATCTCATCCAACAGTTATACGACAATGCTGCATGCAAAGTAATCCACAACGGGAAACTTACGGAAGCCTTCGAAGTGAGGACGGGAGTGAGACAAGGCTGTCTACTATCACCAATGATCTTCCTGATTGCAATCGATTGGATAATGCGACAGACAACGGCCAATGAGGAAACAGGCATAAAATGGACTCACACAAAAGGCAACTTGGAGGATCTGGATTTCGCCAATGATATATTTAGGTCTTATTTCCGACAAACTGGAAGATATGCAAGTGAAAGGCAACAAGTTGGCCATAGAAGAAGCATCAAAGATAGGACTTCAAGTGAACATAGATAAAACAGAGGTGATGAAGATTCTTGGCCAACACCAACAGGAACAACAACAACAACAGACAACAATCAGCCAGCATAAATGGGAGGAACCTGAAAGAAACAACCTCCTTCACCTACCCACCTACCTGGGAAGCATCGTTTCAACTAAAGGCCAAAGGAACTGACGAGGATATCAAAGCGAGGATCGGGAAAGTAAGACAGGCTTTCATTACTCTTAAGTCTGTGTGGAGGTTAACATCACTCAGCATTAAAAATAAGATCCGGATTTTCAACTCCAATGTAAAGTCAGTGCTACTCACCGTACGGATCTGTTATTTTTCTTTTGAATAACGTATCTAACTGTTTTTCTATAGTTTGGTTTGTAAGAGTTAGTTATGTTTTTACGAGTTGATCACGGCTTTATATCAGTTAGAGAACCATTGAAAACCAACCAAGGAGTACTGGACAGCTGCTGTTTCATCCCAGGAAACTCCATCCTGGAGTTCTAGTGAGAAGTCGTGACCAGTGAGGTCCAATTAGATGTCACGTGTGTAGATGGATATCCCACCAACGACAATGGTTGGGGTCGCACTAAATCACGAATTGGTAGAAGTTAGAATCCATGAGCCATTGAATTGAGTCCCACTAGCAGAATGGTATGTGAGCTCGCCTTGTAACTGGGAGGTCCTGAGTTCGAACTCCAGTGGGTGCGCACTACCCATGGTTCCCAAACTAGGATGAAACAGCAGCTGTCCAGTACTCCGTGGTTGGTTTTCAATGGTTCTCTAACTGATGTCAGTTCGTGATCAACTCGTAAAAACGTATCTAACTATTAAAGAGTCTCTTGTGTTTCGTGCTATATGTGACATCATTGGTCTCAGATTTGAAATACCCGAAGTTCTAACTTCATACAATCCTCCCCTTGATGATCTTCAACGAAGTAAGGGCAACGGGAATATCATACCAGTGTATTTCACGGGCTCTTATCAACTGCATGTAACCTGAATCTTGCCTTACCTAGGTGGAAAAATTTCAGATTGCGTTATTTCAGTTTTCTTGATTTTTGTAAATTTATATGTACTTTTGACAAACTGATGGCGAAGCCCTCATTCCTCTCTTTATTCCTACACTTAAAACCTGACTGTGGTGGACTAGATTACATAAATCTTGCGCTACCTGTATTTCCAATTGTACACCTTAATTCTAAAATATACTCCTATGGTTTTTCTATGTATACTAATACATTTGATCCTTTTCATTCTACTATTCAGTTGCGTCATGTTAACGGCTCACAACAACCGTATTAAATAACTACGTTGTAGACTTAAACTGTGCATCAGTGGTTCAGCGGTAGAATCCTTGCAAACTATGTACGTGGTTCGGGGTTTGACTCTTGGCCGGCGCGCACCTTTACCTTCCTTTGCCGGTTGTAACCCCGACAAACAGACTTGGGGTTAGCAACCACCACCTCTACTGAAACTTCAAAGCTCTAACTTTTGAAGCCTTATGTTCCAACTGGAACGCAAAAGGAATTGAATAATAATAATAATATGCATATAATTAGGCTTGAACTAAATTAAATTTCTTTCCAGGTAGACAAACAATATCGTTAGTTTACTACACAGTGAATGTTCTATCACACATACATCTATATTTGCGTCTTTTGTTATTTAAGGTGAGCATTGTATTTATCAGGATTGCGTTTCAATCCAATTTTTACTCAACTTGAAAGTTTATTTTGACAAATGGCCTATTATTTCTTTTTTTATTATAGCTTGACTCCAAACAGTATTTTTGATACAAGTATGAAATTTTCAGCATGTGATATCAATAGCCCAAATTTAGCAGGCCAACCACTGATATAAGTTGTGCGTCCGCTGGGGATCGAACCCGTACCATATGCCTGGTCGGCGAGCGTCCTAACCACTATGCCACCGACGCATTTGTACGGATGTCTCAGTAGTACTACCACAACTAACTTGAAGTTACTTATTTATTTAATGGTGACTAGCAGCGCAATCTACGACGTATGTGTCTTGCTGCTGGACCCTCATCAATTGTGGAGGTGAGAACATCATCACTCACCAGGATTGAAGGTAAATAGAGTTGAATACTCTCGATCAGAGCAGCAAAGCGCATCCTGAATTCCACTGCTAATCATCACCAAACAAATGAACTAAAGTTAAGTTGAAGAAAGTAAGAATAGAAGTTAGATGCAGAATAAAAGTATGACAAAATAAACATTAAGTTAGTCTTAGATAAATGAACTTTTCATTAATAAAGTAGTGGAACTTGAAAATAAATAAATAAATCGAATAAGTAGGTATGTAAACACCTAAAAGCTACGAACATGTGCCGTAATTGTTATCAATACTCAATATTTTGGTGTTCTCCGAACTTCAACACTTAATCTATTTCGTTGCTGGTCAATGTGACTTAAAGCCACGCAGAACATCTGTCTAGCTTGTTTTAAGCAGATTCATTCATTTCAGTCTTTAGCGTTTTTAAAATTAGTTAAACCGTTTCTTATACAATCAACTTGAACTACTGTGTGTTAATGTCTGTGTAATGATAAAAGCAGTTGATATATTGAATTCCATTTCATTTTGATTGCTGTCACCAAATCTGTCATATCCTGATGTTCTGATTGTCTGTTATAGTTACTTTTTCCTAGTGATGAAAAGTTATTTCACTGTGGGATAACAAAGATAGAAAATAGCCAAACAGTTGTAAGGTTACCGTCTTTATCGCTTAAAAATATGGTTACCAACCTAACGTGGAGGAAGTACTCCTCACAAAAGTGAATGGGCAAATTTGAACTTCTCGTGTTTACAACTGGACTGATGGACTTTCTGACCTACCTACAAGCGTGTCTGCGAAAGCCTGATTCCAAGCCTGGAATCTGTAATGGTCGAATGGCGTATGAACTTTTTTCAGTTAACGGAAGGTAG